ATGTGCCTTTTCCCTTTGTAGTATGTGTTTGCATATGCGTGATGGAGTGATAATGTGCATGTGTGTGCGTATGCATGTGTGCATGTGTGTGCATATGTGTGATGCTGAAAATTGAACCCAGAGCCTTGCACATGCTTGGCAAGGGCTCTACCAATGATGTATACTTCTAACCATCCTTTACAATCTTGATTTGTATCCTTTAGTTGTCATAAATCTTAGCCATGAATATAACCATTGAGCCCTATAAGTCCTAATGAATCATTGAACTTGGGAATGGATTTGGGGGCTCCCTGATACACCAGCTCCTCCAAAATGTCAATAGACAGCTCCTATCAGTGCTCCCCTTCACTTACCTTCAGATTTCACAATATTCAACTCAGACTTAGCTGAGGAGAATTCACCCACGACTCGGACATTTTCCAACATTGCTGCTTTTCCTTCTATTCCTACATACATGCAATGTGTTGCTGCCTTAGGCCTTTGCACCAGCAGTTCTTTCTGTCTGTGATGCTCTTCCTGTAGCTTTGCATTTCTGGCTCGGTCTTTTCATTGAGTTCTCAACTTGATGGTCACCTCCACTGACAGATCACTTGCCTTAGCTTCATTATAGTACATATTTCAACCTGCTTTTTAATTCATGCTTTGTTTGTTTATTTATTAAAAGCCCTCCTCACTCTGGATTTTATTTCCACTCCAACAAGGATCTTGTTTGACTTGATCAGCATTTTATTCTCAGTGCTAAAATGTCTGGAAGAAAAACTAGGTATTCAATAACTGTTTTTGAATAAATGAATAATTAAATCACATGAAAAATAAGTGACACTTTGGAAATTGCATTTAACACCTTTCAAGAGACTGCCCTGGCTTTGCTCCCCCGATTTCTGTTACTGCATTCACTAAATTCCCCCTCAGTTTCTTCTTTCACCAATGTGCAGGCACTTTTCATTCTACCAGGCCCCCAGAGCAGCTAGACAGGTAGATTGAAGAAGCGACACCATCAATCAGTGTCAGGTGTGCACTATTTTCTTGATTTGAAAGGGCAAGCACTGTCACTTAAACATCACCCAATCCCTTTACATCTTAAAAATTTAAACTTCTACAAAAAGCAAAAGAGGCAATTGTTAAGGGTTGTGTGGTGCATATTGCAGAATAGATGTCATTAAGATCTGCTTCTTTTCTTCTCCTGTTCAATTACTTCTGTAAAAGGCAGTGGATTTTTCTTGTCTTCTTCAATTTGGGTTTATTGAATTTCTGAGTCTCAGCATATCTTGTTTGTTAGGTATTTTGGCAGATTAAGCAATACTGGGACACACAGGAGAAAGCCAGATTTCCACAGTAGCTGCTCTGTCCCTTTTTCTGATACCCCACATCTCCCATCCCAGACTGTTCTAATATTGTACTATCTTTATTCTCATATTACTCTAATTGCATCTGCCCTCAAGGTACAGCCTTCTACAATTCTCCCAAGAGACTCTGGAGCTCATTTCTTTTTCTTTACCACTGAGCTTATAGGTACTTATATTTTTCCAGTTCTCAATGTCACCCAAGGTGCTTATCTCCAGTGGCTTGTGAACATGGTACATTTAAAAATTCAATCTTTAATGCAGTATGTCCAATACCTGATCTACATACCTTCTCCACAAAACAGAAACTTCTTTCTCTTTCCTTTTCTGCCTACACACACACACACACACACACACACACTTACTTTAAGAGTAATGAATCTGGAATCATTTCATCTCCATTATCTAATCATCTGTCATAATCAGCTGACATGAAATCACACAAAAAAAATCTCTTATGATCAATCCATTCTTTACCATTCATGACTTTACTAGTCTACATACACAGCACAACAGCCCAGGTTTCCTATATCATCTGTCAACTCAGGATCTCTCAAAGTATAGTTCACCTACTCTTGCATTAGAATCACGAGGGAAGCTTGTAAAAATGTAGATTACCTCACAGCATCTGAAACTTAAATAGAGAATTAGAATTTCTGAGTGTGGGGTCCAGAATTCTACATTTTAACAAATGCCCCAATATAATCCCCAAACTGGGTTTTAGAAACCCTGAAATTAATCTCTCTACCTACTATCTCTACCCTGATCTAAATTCCTCTGCATCTGTCTACACATAGTTTATACTGGGACACACAACTCTGTTTAAGGACTATCACCTGTTATCTAATATACTGTATGCTTTTAGGAGGATAAATTGGACCTTAAAAATCAGAATGACTTTCTTTTGTAGAAAAGGAAATGAAGATCCAGAGAAATGTTTTCCTATGAAATCAGAGTAGGTAAGTTGGAAAGCTGAGATTAGGTCTCAAGTATCCTGATTTCCAAGCCTCACCAAAATGTGCTAACTATATAACTGACTGCTATTCTTTGAAACATTTCCTTGCAAGGTTGGCACTTGGATGACATCTGGGAACTTCACTCTGGGAAGAGTTTCCACCATTCCCAGGATTGATAAGAATGACTCACCATGCCTCAAGCATTTTTACAAACAATATGACATAAGGTGAACATCTGCTTTCCTTTTGGACATATGGAATTTGGGTACATGCCAAGGAGAGGGTTCCAGTGTTACCAGATTCCAACAAAAACCCTGGGTGCACAGTCTCTAATGAGTTTCCTTTGTTGACATTGCACATGTGTTGTCAGAATCCATTACTAAGAGAATTACGTGTGTTCCCTAGGTGACCCCACTAGGGGAAGACTTTTGGAAGCTTGCACCTGGTTTCCTATGGACTTTACCACCTGTGTCTTTTCCCCTTGCTGATTGAATATGACTATGCTGAGTCCTGAGGCCCTCTACTGGCCCTGGGGGCCTCCTTACACATAAACCAATGCTTTCCATAACTTATTTCACCATAACTCTCATGGTCTAAATAGAAGAAGCATTTGGGGTGATCAAAACAACCTGGCCTTAAAAGAAAGATGGCATGATTTCAATCCTAAATTAGCTTCTAAGTTCCATTACTTCTCTGAGCCATGGTTTCCTCATCTATAAAAACAGACCAATAATATTTACTTTACAAGATCTTTACAATGATCTAGAGATAATAACATAAGAGGTCCATAACAGTTACCCTTTAAGGTGTGCCGATTATTTCCATTCAGTCTTTTGGATCACATGAAATGATCAATTAGAATTATATGGATCCAGTCTTATGTGTCCATATATTTATGAAGCAATGGAACTAAATACATGAACTCAGAAAGCTGCAATCATGTTGGAACTTTTGAGCACAATTTTCCTTAGGATCTTTCTAGAATTTCTCTATCCAAGGACTCATAGTGGGAATTGTGTGGACAGCAGGCACGAAAATGAGCATGTTTATACTCATCCTCAAATTTCAAACTATGTTTGGCTATTTGTTTCTGACTTATAGGATCCTTCCCACTCCACTGATTTCTAGGCCCTGACCTCTTTCTGGATGCTAATCTGCCCTGCTTAAGTCTTTATTGGGTGCTCCATTTTCTTTTAACTACACAATTTTCCAGCCACTAATTCACACATGACTTAGTCACCATGGTTCACCTGGTCCTGAGTGGAGAATCTCCACTGAAACTTCTCTCCTATATGTTTCACTGACTTCATCCTTTAACCTGATTTTAATATTTGCTTATGAATAAAATATGTTTCGCTTTTGCATAAGCAAAATCGTTAGGCAAATATAATCGCAGTCAGTGGCAGCATATCTGGAAGAAAAACTCATTTATGTTCATTTATTCTGTCTCTAGTATCCAGAGGCTAATCACACTTCTTATTTCTGGCATTGCCCCACCTGAAATGACATAACTAAAAGTTTTGAAGATGAGATATTTGAAATCTCTTCAGCAAGTCAAATAAGGTGAATTCTTTAGTGTACGCTTGGATTGTTGCCATAAAAAGCAGACAGTGTCTGCAAGGAGTTACTTTACAGCATATCATTTCGGGGGGGGGGGACATTAGTCTTCTCTGTTGAGGGTAAAACATAAACAAAGACGTTTGCTCTGGATTTCTCAGCCAGACATTCTATAGTGGTGAGAGCATTGCATGTGGAGTCAGAAGGCCTGTTTCAGTCTTTCACTATAACTTAGAGGACAAGAGCCTTTTGCCATCTCTCCTTTCATCTAAGTTAGGCTGAGCTCCTAGTACTTGCCCATGGAATGTGAATGGAAGTGATTGTGCCACTTCCCTGCTAAGGTGGCTTTGAAGCAAGTATCCCTTCTTCATGCTCTCTTCTCCTAGGTCCCAGCTGGATGTTGACATCCAGAGTGACCTTGGAGGCCACATGTTGAAGATGGCAGAGCTACTCTCAGCCAGTTGCTGAATGAATCTGTAACTTAATAATCTGTCCTTCCCTCTTAGCAATCAAGAATATCTGCACTAAGTTAAGTCATTGACTACGTTAAGACATTTGAAATTTTGTGTTATAGCAGCTAGTATGTTCCTAATTAGACTGTTTCACGTCTTTTTGATAATCTTTGTGGGTTGTTGTAAAGATGAACTGAGAACAGTAGCTGGCACATAATAAATGTTCAATAAATGTTAGCTATTCATATTAGTACCTACACTGAAACTAACTAGTTATGTTAATTTTCCTGGACCTCCATTTTCACAACTGTCAAACGTAAGAATCATACTTCATGGTTTCCAAGTTTCATTGTTTGAAATTTTATAATCAGAAATTCTTCAAAAAATGCTAAGAAAAATTTATCTTGGTCTCGGGATATAGCTCAGTTGGTACAGAGCTTGCCCCACATGCACAAGGCCCCGGGTTCAATCCCCAGCACCACAAAAAAAAATTATCTTAATTCATGAAAAAGTGGCCAGAGGATGATGAAGAGGCAGTCCAAATATCAGGTAAACAGAGAAAGACAAAATGGAGAATAGTACAAAGGATTCTCAGAGGGAAAACCATTATTTACAGAGTAGCACATTTTCTTTTTGAAATTTATCCATCAAATTTTGAAATAATATTTTGAGAGAAGAAAAGATTTACAAACCGAGCTGTGTCCGTGAGACTTTCATTCACACCCAAATGAATATCTTGTGTAGTAAGAAAACAAGGGTGTCCTCCCAGAAGTGCAAAACCTATAATAATAAAAAAAGAACTAAAATGTGAAACAAAATTACGAGCAATTGGCACCATCTCAATTGACAAGTGACCATCTTTAAAGCTCTCCAACCTCTCTGACAGGGAATTTCCAAACAAAGCAAAATGAAGAATTGAGGGAAGTGGATGAAATTTTGTGCATAAGGTCTTAACTTTCCTTCAGGTGTATGCCTATCTCTGCATCTATTTGTTAGGGACATGGCAATGATGGAATATTGTTCCCTTTTGGGATCTATGGCTAGGTTTGATTCTTTCAATTTAGAAAGCTGCCCAGCCAGGAAAATGGAAAAATAAAATAGTTATATGGGATATTATGGATTATAATGGGATACTACTCAGTAATAAGCAGGAATGAACTATCTCCAACATAATATGAGAGAAGCTAGATCCAGAAGAATAAATACTACATGATTCCATGTATATGAAGTTCTAGTCTAGGCAAAATGAAGATAGAGCCAGGAATAGTGGCGCACAACCTGTAATCCCAGCAGCTCAAGAGTCTGAGGCAGGAGGATTGCAAATTCAAAGCCAGCCTCAGCAACTCAGTGAGGCACTAAGCAACTCAGTAAAGACCCTGTCTCTAAATAAAATACAAAAGGGGCTGGTGGTATTGTTCAGGGGTTAAGGTCCCTGGGTTCAATCCCTGGTACCAAAAATAAAAAAAAAAAAAAACTAACCTAGAGTGGCAAAAATTAAAACAGTGGCCGCTTCTGGAGTGGGGGATTGAGTGGGAAGGAGTATTGGGGAATTCTCTAGGGTAATGAAAATGTTTATTTGGTGGGGTTTTGTATTGTAGATTTAACCCAGGAGCCCTTAACCACTAAGCTACAACACCAGCCTATTATTGTTATTATTGTTTTGATATTATTATTATTATCAGAGAAGGTCTCATGAAGTGGCTTAGAGACTCCCTAAGTTGCTAAGGCTAACCCTAAATTTTCAATCCTCCTGTCTCAGCCTCCTGAGCCACTGGGAGTACAGGTGTGCACCACTGTGTCAGGCAATGAAAATGTTTTATATCTTGATAAAGTGTGGGCTACTGTGGGTTTCATGGATATACACACTTGTCAACACTGATTAAAGTATATGCTTAAAAGCTGTGCATTTTACTATAAGTACCTTAATTTTTAAAAAGCTTAAAAGTAAAATAAAGTAAGCAAAGAGATGGTGTTTTCAAGTCACTAAGTGTTAAAGGGTCACTTTACTGATTTCTACATTTTCTAATGAACACATTCACATTTTCTTGTGAAGTTCTATTCACACATTATGCTCACTGCTTTTTCAATCACCCTTGCATTAAGAGAGTATTGTGGATACCTGAGCAGGTGAGGATGGCTCCCACCCTGTTCTGCCCTTGTAACACATTCTATTGTTCTGAAGAGAATGCTACACAGAGGACTCTGCTCCAAGTCACAGCTAAACTTGCAGGCACAAGTAGAGCCTTTTGTCACTTCCTCTGGGGCAAAACTGTGGGAGATGGTGACATCCAGCCAGAACATTGCTATCTCATTGGAGACAGGTTCAACGGGCAGACTTCCTCCAAAACATAATTAAAGGCAAATAAGCATAATTACAAGATAGAAAATTGTCTGAGGTATTTTGCAAATATTACTTTTCCTTTCATACTACATTGTGCCTAATTTATCTTTTGGGAAATATACAACAGTCACAGTTTGATAATCCCATCTGTTTTCCATAAAAGAGGAGGAAATCATTAATTGCATAGTGAATTGGAGGAGGTGAGGAGTTTTTTTTTTTTTTTGACTCTTTTTTTTAACAATTTTATTTATTTATTTATTTTTATGTGGTGCTGAGGATTGAACCCAGGCCCTCGCATGTGCTAGGCAAGCACTCTGCCACTGAGCCATAAACCCAGACCAGAGATGAGGAGTTTGTTTTAGACCCACAAATAAGAATTTAACTCAAGGACTTATAAAATTCTCCTCTGATGTCTTAACAAAATTAGAATAATGTAATTTGAAAATGGACTGGTATTAAATGATATTAAGGAATCATTATTTTTCTTATGTAAGTAATGATATAGCTATATAGTAAAATATCCTTTGTTTTTAAAAAGATGCAAATTGATGTATTCAGGGATAAAAATATTGTACTTTTAATTCAATTTAAAATATTTTAGCAGTGGGCTAGGGTTGTAGCTCAGTGGTAGAGCGCTTGCCTAGCATGCTGGGTTCGATCCTCAGCACCACATAAAAATAAATAAATAAAATTGCTGGGCACAGTGGCGCTCGCCTGTAATCCCAGCACTTTGGGAAGCTGAGGCAGGAGGATTATGAGTTCAAAGCCAGCCTCAGCAACAGTGAGATGCTAAGCAAGTCAGTGAGACCCTCTCTAAATAAAATACAAAATGGGGCTGGGGATGTAGCTCAGTGGTCGAGTGCCCCTGGGTTCAATCCCCGGTACCCCCCTCAAAAAAAAACATAAATAAATAAATAAATAAAGGTATTGAGTCCATCTACAACTAAAAAAAAATCAAAAAGATTTCAGCAATAAAAAAATAAATTAAAGACAGCAGTATAATGACAATTGTTAGATTGATAAAAGGAGTATTAGTGTGTTCCTTCTGGTAATGTTTCTATTTTTCTATTCATTTGAAAACTTGTCATTGTTTCTGTCACTGTATAAAAACGAAATAATTATATTCTACCTATTTTATACTTAAAAGTTCTCCCTGAAATAAATCCAAACCAAATGTTTTTCATCCAGAGGCCACCATGTTCTGACACTTGCAATAATTATTCACAGAACACAGTCATGTGCGAGAGTTTTATAAACATCCTTCTACTGAATCCTCTGCTCTGATAAAGTGCATAGTATATGCTGTTATAAGAATTTTATAAACGGGAGTTCTGAGAATCAAAGAATCTAAAAAATTGTGGAAGATTGTTTTATAATCCCTGTAGGGGAGCTCCCCTCTGAGCCTGCCCACATTGTGATCTACAGGAACAGGACAACATAGTGAAACTGTATTCAGATTTTTTTTTCTTCTGGAAAAAGACTAAAGTCCTGAGATCCCTTGTAGATTAGATGTGCTAGGTTCCAAATAGAATTAGAGAATATGAAACACCCAAATGGTCCTACTTGCCATGGGTCCAGTAATAAAGAGTCTGATGCCATTTTTGATGTTTGACTCCTGAAAGTGTTCAAGCTCACCTTTCCACCTTCCTCTTCTGCCCTACGTCTGGGCATTCTAGGAAAATGCAGGTGTTCCTTGCTTCAGCACTAGCAAAAGTTTCAAATCCAGTATCCAGTCCCGTGGACTTAAATGCCCTCTATATACTGATGACTTCCAAATTTCTCTAAGCCAGATCTCACTCCAAAACTCCATACTCGTATCCAACAGCTTTTTCAACACCTTTCTTTGTACATCTGATAAACATCTCAAACTCAATACACCCCAAACTGAACTCCTGATCTTCCCCTTTCAATCTGCCTCAGCTGCAGCTTTCAAATTGCTCAGGCAGAAATCTTGAAGTCATTCTTGATATCACTCTTCTGCCAAATTCATAAATCACCTTTTTTTCAAAAAAATTTTGGTGGACATGATACCTTTGTTTTATTTATGTATTTTTATGTGGTGCTGAGGATTGAACCCAGTGCCTCACACACTCTAGGCAAGTGCTGTATCACTGAGCCACAACCCCAGCCACTCATAAGTCATCTTGATGGCTCTCCCTTCCAAACATATCTAGAATGTGCCCCTCTTACCCCTCTCGCTACTAATACCCTGGCTCCAGTCCCTCCCTCTCCCCTCTCTTGACAAGCTTCACTGCTTGTATCTTGTTTCTACAAACCCCACTTCCCTAAGGCCTATTCTCAACAGAGCAATCAAAGTGATCTTTGGGCACATTCTTCTGCTTGCTGAGAGCACTTATCACCTTCCTACATATTATATCAAGCATTTATTTCTTATGTCTGTTGTCTGTGTACACATTAGAAGGCAAGCTCCACAAATGTGGGGAATTTCCAGTTTTGCTTACTGATGTATCGCTTACTCAAGCACTTAAAATAAATATTGGTGAATAGTAAGTGCTCAAGAATCACTCCTTGAATGAAAAGAAGGAAGGACTTGGGAGAAAGGGCTCATTTTCCACATTGGCAAATTCTCCCTCATCTTGTTAATACAAAAAAGAAACAAATATCTGTTATCTCTGAAGTGAGATACTGGAGTTTAATGATGATTATAACCAATAACTTTTTTTTGGGGGGGGGGGCTGGAGATTTAACCCGGGGCGCTTTACCACTGAGCCAAACTCCCAGATTTCTTGCTTATTTATTTGAGACAGGGTCTTACTAACTTCTCTGTGCTTGACTTTCATAGCTGCAGAATAGTATCAGAATTTTCGTATTAGCCTCTTTTCAAAGATGATGAACTTGAAACAGCTGCTAAGGCACCAACTTCTATTTCACCTTGAAAGTGAATCATATCTGTTAAATGATGAAAAGAACCATCTCTTAGAATGCCCTGTGCATTTTTCTATCAGCTACTGCACTTCCTGAGATTAATAAATGTATCTGTCCATCAGCTCAATTAATTTGGAATAAAAGAATATAATCATCAGACACACAGGAGAATTGCCTGGTTGGCCAGGGAGGTATACACAAAGCGGATGAGGAGGGAATGAGCTCCAAGCACACACAGCAACAAGGACACAACTCACAAACACAAATGCTGAAAGAAGCCAGACTCAAAAGCATACATGCTGAATGACTCCATTTACATGAAGTTCCAAAACAGGCAAAACTAATCTGTGTTAGAAGCCAGGATAATGTTTACTCTTGGATGGGGCAAGTGGACGAAAATACAAGGGGGGAGGAGAGGGCTTCTGGGTACTTATTAATATTCTATTTCTATACCTGGGTGTTAGTGACAACAGTGAATTCACTATAATAATTCATTAAACTACATGTACACTTAGTGATTTGTTACTCTTTCTTTCTTTCTTTCTTTCTTTCTTTCTTTCTTTCTTTCTTTCTTTCTTTCTTTCTTTCTTTCTTTCTTTCTTTCTTTCTTTCTTTCTTTCTTTCTTTCTTTCTTTCTTTCTTTCTTTCTTTCTTTCTTTCTTTCTTTCTTTCTTTCTTTTTGGTACCAGGGATTGAACTCAGGGAGGCTTAACCACTGAGCCACATCCCTAGCCCTTTTCATTTTCTATTTAGACACAGGGTCTCACTGAGTTGCTTAGGGCCTCACTAAGTTGCTGAGGCTGGCTTTGAACTCATGATCCTCCTGCCTCAGCCACCCAAACCTCTGGGATTACAGGAGGGTGCCACTGTGCCTGGCTGACATGTTACATTTTAATGAACATGTTACATAAACAATTAATATGGTTTAAATTGAGTCGAGAATTTTATTATATCCCCCAAAATGTCTGTGCTGTTTTGTTTGTTTGTGGTGCTGGGGATGGAACCCCAGACCGCACACATGCTAGACTAGCACTCTATCACTAAGCTACATCCCTGGCCCCTGGATCTCTGACTGTCCAGCTTGAGATGGAATCCTCAAGGACCATCATTTGAGGATCACCCCATCCTAGGGGTTGGTACAACTCTGAGGGCAGTAATAGACAGTTAATTACATCTTATTTTCATTCTAAACACCAATGAAACAGGTTGGACCTGTTGTATCTGTTGAAAAAAAATCATACTGAATGACAACTATTGAGATGCACAAACACAAAGAAATGCTCTGCCATGATTATGATTTCCATAAGCTTTTGAGCAGCTTCTCACTCTGCCAGGTTGTTCTACTACCAAGTTGGGCAGCATGCCATAAGCAATTAGACCCACAGGTACTTACTGAGGATAAAAACAAATACTCTGTGAACCCTAAGTTTTAAGAGACAAACATCCCTCATATATTTATTGTGATGGTTTGCAATTATGTGCAGGTTTTATAACACCTCTTTAGAGAAAGCCATCATTTAACAAAAGGCTTAATGCCATTTGTAGAAAAAAAAAACTTACTAGAACAAAACATGACCATTACATGCCTGAATTAAACTGGATATTTTTAAAAAATACATTTAATAATAGCTTCCAATCCTGGGCCTGTTGTTCATTAACTATGTCTCCACTGGTCATTTCCTGAATCCATTGCAGCCTGTTTTCATTAATGGTCTTGCCCTCATAGAGTTGTTGTGAGGATTAAGCGAGATAATCCATGCAATTAATACAGAGCACTTGGCACAAAGTCTACATCCAAAACCATGTTAAATCCTCGCTCTTGTTTTCATTAGTAGCTTAACTACCATATTATTGTGAATGGTGAAATTGATCAATTTTTCAGGGACATTTTGATATTAAACATAACAATTGAACAGAGAAGAGTGGTACAAACACAAACAACAAAGAAAAGTCCATTTCAGTCAATTTATCAACTCAAAACTCTATTCAACAGTTCTTTGGGCGGCTTCCAAGAAGACCACCTGTGTTAAGGACTAATGCTAATATTTTGCTATTAAATTTTGTTCTTTTTAGTTATACATGACAGTAGAGTGTATTTTGACATGTTATACATACATGGAGTTTAACTTATTCTAATTAGGATCTCATTCTTGTGGTTGTACATGATGTGGAGTTTCATTATTTGTGTACTCATATAAGAACATAGGAAAGTTATGTCCAATTCATTTAAGTATCTTTCCTATTCCTATCCCCTTTTCCTTCCCTTCATTCCCCTTTGTCTAATCCAATGAACTTCTGTTCTTCCCCTCTCTACCCTCCCTTGTTGTGAATTAGCATCCACATATCAGAGAGAACATTCAGCCTTTAGTTTATTGGGACTGGCTTATTTCACTTAGCATGATAATCTTCAGTTCCACCCATTTACCAGCAAATGCCATAATTTCATTCTTCTTTATGACTGAGTAATATTCCACTGTGTGTGTATGTATACCAAATTTTCTTTATCCATTCATCTGGCAAAGGGTACCTAGGTTGGTTCTATAGCTTGGGTATTGTGAATTGAGCCACTATAAACATTGATCCATTACATCACTGTAGTATGCTGAATTTAAGTACTTTGGGTATAGAGGGAGGAGTGAGGTCACTGGATCAAATGGTGGTTTCATTCCAAGTTTTCTGAGGAATCTCCATACTGCTTTCCAGAGTGGTTGCACCAATTTTCAGTCCCACCAGCTATGTATAAGTGAAGCTTTTTCCCCAGATCCTCACCAAAATTTATTGTTACTTGTATTCTTTTTTTAATATGTATTTTTTAGTTGTAGATGGGCACACAATATCTTTATTTCATTTTTATGTGGTGCTAAGGATTGAACCCAGTGCCTCACGTGTGGGCACTCTACCACTGAGCCACAACCCCAGCCCTAATTGTATTCTTGATAATTGCCATTCTGACTGGAGTGAGATGGAATCTCAGTGTAGTTTTAATTTGTAATTGTAAAATTTTTAAAAAGATGAAATAAAATTCAGCCCAACTCATAAAAAACTGGTGTCAGAGGGAGCAGAATTTGAGAACTATTGATTGGTTTATTAATTTCCCCCTACTGCCAATCAAATGCCAATAGGAGGGCATCTTTAAAGAGCAAAATATACTCATCTGTTTTCTTCCTTGGACTTTTAAGATTAGGTAACACCTTATATGTTTCTCCTTTTCCAGCTTCCTTCTCTCAAGGAGCAAAAGGATTGCAGTAATAAGAAAAGTGGGTTTGATATTTGAATTCTGGTGCTATTTGTATTAATTGAGTGAACTTAGAAGTCACTTAATCCCCCTAGATAACAAACACTTTTGTTATCTATTTGGTGAATTTCATTATTAATCATTCATTACAAAGAAGGCAAAAATCACATGTAGTACAGTAGTGGTTTACATCTAAGCTCTAGAAAGCTCTGATGCTTATAAGGTAGGATAAGACACTAAAAGAACCAGCTGATATTTTTTTAAATTATTTTTAGTTGTAGATGGACATAATACCTTCATTTTATGTATGCATTTATTTATGTATTTATTTTAATATTTTTAGTGGTTGATGTACCTTTATTTTATTTCTTTATTTATATGTGGTGCTGAGAATTGAACCCAGTGCCTCATACATCCTAGGTAAGCACTCCACCACTGAGCCACAACCCCAGTCCGATGTATTTATTTTTTATGTGGTGCTGAAGATCGGATGCAGTGCTTCACATGTGCTTGTCAAATGCTTTACCACTGAGCCACAACCCCAGCCCAGCTGATATGTTTTTGTTTTTGATATTTCCTCCTCAACGTTGTCTGATAGTCCATTTGAGCAGTCATATTATTGATTGAAGGGAGGTCTGATGGAGCAGAAATACAGAGAGAAAGAAAGAGGCAATTCATGGCTTATAAATGTCAAAATAGGCTTTTTGAAACTCATCACAGAGATAATAGCTTGAGAAAAATGAGAAAATTTGAGTTTCACAGCCTGGAATTCTAGGCACAAACAATAGATTTGGAAAAACACATGGCTAGTCAGAGCCAGTTTTTTCTCCTGTTTTATCACCTGGCCTTCAACACTGGAAACCCAAAGGGGAGTAAGAGAGAGGAAGCAACAGAAATAGAATTGACACTGTACCAGATGTGTGTATCCCAGGCCAATTTCCAAAGGGTAGGGAACATGATAGAAATCTCAGATGAGTTTGAAGAACCCCAGAACAGAAAACAACTGTTTCTTGCTTTTAAAACAGAGCTCTACAAGGGAGTGACAGTTCAAAAGCTCTTTGGCTGGGTATGGTGGTGCACACCTGTATTCCCAGTGGCTTGGGAGGCTAAGGCAGGAGGATCACGAGTTCAAAGCCAGCCTCAGCAATGGTGAGGCACTAAGCAACTCATCGAGAGCCTGTCTCTAAATAAAATACAAAATAGGGCTGGGGATGTGGCTTAGTGGTTGAGTGCCCCTGAGTTCAATCCCTGGTACCCATCTGCAAAAAAAAAAAAAAAAAAAAAAAAAAAAAATCTCCCTGGCACCCAGCTTGTGGAAAGAACAATAGAGCACAGACAACCTTGCAGTATCTCTGTGCCCATTGTAGCTTGGATAGAGAACCAAACAAAGATATATTCAGTCTTGTGATTAGAGTGAAACAAACCCTGCAGTAAATTAGAGATTGTCAAGATCCAACAGAAATATATAAGTCCCAGCAGACTCTAGCATAGACATTTGATGATGAAATTCTGATGACCAAGAACCAGATCCCTAGATATCTTTTTTTTTAAAGAGAGGGAGGGAATTTTTTTTAATATTTATTTTTTGGTTTTCAGCAGACACAACATCTTTATTTGTATGTGGTGCTGAGGATCGAACCCAGGCCGCATGCATGCCAGGCGAGCGCTCTACCTCTTGAGCCACATCCCCAGTCCTCCCTAGATATCTTGACATTCAGATACCCTCCAGGATTTAGCCCTGCCTGTAGGGGAAGGGAGAGAAGACCTGAAATTGACAAAGAAAACCCTGAAACAACTGAGTACTGCCTAATGTGGCAGAGATTGTTTGCACCCACCAGCAGAAATGTGACACACAAGAAAAAGTTCTTCATGTGTCATAAAAATGAACACATTAGTTACTCACATGAGTTTAAGGCCTAAGATTTTGCATCCATCTACATTTTGCCCTCAACATGAAGAGTTGTGTGGGACTTGTACTCAAATCGTCATGGAACTCCAAGAGATGAAGCTAATCCTTCTGCTCACAACTTTTTATGAGAATTGGAAGAAGCATTCATGGGTTTACACTACTGTTCCCAGTGAAAATGTTTGCTATTTGTGGTTGCTAAAGAGGCAAACAAACTCCCCCACTGACTTACACTCCCAAGTCCTTACCAGACAACAAGTGGGTTTAAGTCCTCTTTAACACAAATGGAAGTTCTTCAGTGGACTCACCGGTTTCTGTGGACAGTCTTGTTCGAGTACTTCTTTTCTCAAAAATCATGCCTAAGGACTTCCCTTGCAATAAAGGCAAATACTGAAAATCAAGGACAAAATATAATTAAAATGCAAAATATATTTCCTATCCAACATGCAGGATTATGTTTCAAAACTTATTGTTTACACTACTAGAAATATAGAATAATTAATCACCACTTCCAAATAAATATTCACAGTATTGTTTAAAAAGTGAATTTAAAGCAGTTTTTTTTTTCAGTACAAATGGGGAAAGGGAATAGTTACTCCCACAGCTTATTGACATGTAATTAGGAAAGCAATATTAATTATTATGGGTTCAACCTGGGCATTTGTTCCAAAGTATAATGATATTTCATATTGGAACCATCTTCATACTTAACCCTGTTGAAATCCCCATTCAATTGTTAATGACCTTGAAAATATTTGGTTCTGTGATGTTTTCTCAGTTGGGAATAAGCTACTAGATCACTAAGCACTAAGACTCCTACTTAAGTCAGTAGTGAAAGCCTCAGATTTTCAGCTAGACGCTCATCTCACGTTCTCGTGGGAATACAAAGGCTTTGTTTCTGAAAGTCATTTGAAAACAATCTGGAGAGTTTGGGTGTGGGGTGGAGCTCTTCCTCCTTCCTCTCCTGTTGATGGATTTCCTGATAGGATACGTTCTAAAACAAATAGATTTCTGCCAGCTAACCTTCCTCATGTACAGACTGTGAAGAACAAAGGCCTGGGATCTAGGGACACCTTTTCTCTTCATTTCAAGGGTTCCATAGGAACACCAACCCACAGCACTGGAGTCACTCCTGCCCCTGTTTGTACATTGAAGCTTGGAGAGCTAGCCAACTAGATAAGAAAATCAAGGTTGTGTCGAACTTTATCAACCTGAAACAAGCTCTTTAGAAAGCTTTTGAACAAGCTTGGAATACAAAAATGCTTTCACAATTAAGCAGCCTAAATGAAGCTACTGCATTAATTAACTGTGTTTCAAACATAAATTGCTCAAAATGCAGAATAATGCTTATAGCTAAGCACCATATCCCATCTCTTTCCCTACTTGGCTACCATTTAATTGTTTCTTTGCTAATCTAGTGCCTTTTAAACATCATCACATTGTTGAGAATTTTAAAATATTATCCTAATGATCTTACATCTAATATGCATCTAGAACTGGAATTTATTGCCAGAAAAAAAATAAACCATCCTTATTTTTAACTTGATAGAAAATACACAGAAAAAAGGTGTAAAAATAAAATCTTTCCAGACAAATGGTTCCTTAGGTTCTGATCTAGTTAATAATGAATTTCAGCATTCCACATGAAAGAATTGCAATGACTTGTCATAGAATAACTGATTTTTATGCTTTTTATATGCCTGTACACTCAGTGATAATCAATTACCTTGACTGTGAGGTTTCATTACTTAGCTACTGTTAAGGAATTTTAATGTATTTTATTTTCCCTCTTTCTTTGGGAAGATTGCCTTTGAAAAGGCTAATTACATTAATGGAATGTAAAAAGCAAATGTTACGTACTTCTCCTTTCTGTTTTATTCTGAATTTCAGATCTGCTGATAGCCACAGCATGTACTTGATTTCTTCTCCTGTAAAGTCCTTTAGAGTCAGAAGGTCACGACCCTTTAGCCGTACTTCATTTTGTAGTGGTTGTCCACACCTATAAAAGAAGAAAAAGAAGAGAAACATTGATTTAAGAAAAAAAAAACATGTTGTACAGTGGTCTGTTTTTTTATTCTTCAAACAAAATATGACAACGCTCATTGTAGTCTGGTGTGTGCCTACAAAGTGTTAGTGTTTTGAAACTGATATGGCCATGATTTACATTTTAGATATCCAGTACTTTGAATGGTTGAAAGAAAAGAAGAATTTGAGGAAAGAAATTGGATTCTGATTTGTTTTAGTCAGCTTTTTTTGCTGCTGTGACTAAAGGACCTGACAAGGACAATTTTAGGGGAGGAAAGTTTATTTGGGGGCTCATGATTTCAGAGGTCTCAGTCCATAGATAGCCAGCTCTATTCCTCGGGGCTCAAGGCGAGGCAGAACATCATGGCAGAAGAGTGTGGCAGAGGGAAGCAGCTCACATGATGATCAGAAAGTAGAGAGACTCCACTCTCCAGATACAAAATATATGCCCCAAAAGCACACCCCCAATGCTCACTTCCTCCAGCCATACCCTACCTACCTTCAGTTACCACTCAGTTAATCCCATCAGGTATTAATTCACTGATTTGAGTTAAGACTCTTATAACACAATCATTTCTCTTCTGGACCTTCTTGCATTGTCTTACACATAAGCTTTTTGGGGACACCTCAAATCCAAACCCAAACATGATTCACTTGAAATAGCCCATACGAGTAACTTTGACCCTTACTAGTCATGCAATTTCTGGCAAGTTTCTTAACTTCTCTCTGTACCTAAAGTTCTCACTGACAAAATGAGTATAATAATCTTACAGGGTTATTGCAAAGATGAAATCATTTAATACATATAAAACAGATAGTGTCTGGCATATAATATGCATTTTATACATTTTAGCTATTATTATTAAAATCATTAGACTGTATAAGCAGAATTTGTAATGCACTGTAGATACCATTTCACACTCCCTCTACAACTCCTTTTCGAATGTGTTCTTGAAGACTTGTTCTTTTGGCTCTGAGTTTTGTTTTTTGTTCCTGAATGAAAATACAATGGACCCTGTAGCTTTTCTTGTAACTTTCAGAAACAATAAGCTTGTTATATTAACCCAAAGAGTTAATAACAGTAAAATAACAAGTAATAATATAATAACAGCAATGATTTTTTAAAAAATGCTTAAGAACTTTACTGCAAGTTGACACCTTTATCTTCTAACTCATGCTTGATACAAGCAGGCCTTCTCTATGGGGGAAGAAGGGCTATGAGCTGTTTCCTCTGTGTCCTTGCCATCCATTTCTCCAAGTGAAGCCAAGGGAAGGTGAGAAGTTAAGAGCCAATAGAAAGTCCAATTCTGTTCTAAGCTTATGTTCTGGCTATTTAGTGTTGGTTTAGGGGTTTGAGGCTGATTCTGTCTTGCAGGTTGCTTTGGGGGGTCCTTTGGAGAGTTCCATCATCACCAGGAATCTCTCACACCAGTTCTTGATGTGAACAATTACATTATTACATTTCCTCTGTCATTGAAGAGATACACCAACCTTTTTGTTTCTAAGATTTTTCCACTTCTCCAGGAGATTTCTTGGTCCTAATCTGAAACAATATGATGGTAGGTTTCTTTGCTACACCATATTAGTTCATGTGAAGTCTTCCATATCTTCCATACTCATTGCTCTGACAAGAGTCAGGTCCATCTCAGAATAGACGCCTCTCTTGTTTTGTCATCAGAACAGCTAATTAGCCAGTACTTCTTACTTTAGTTTCTCAGTCATAGTCCTGACATCTGTTTGCAGGGCCCCCAAACTCTCCTAGTGAGGATATTAGTCCCATTGGAACCACTTTCCCTATGCTTAAACTGAAGAAAGAGTACCCACTCCATGGGAGGGCACATCATACACAAAGGTAACACTTTCTAAAAATCCTCCTTTTATCCCCTCTCTTTGTTTTGTTTTTAATGATTTTCTTTTCTTTTTTTTTTTAAAGTTTTGTTTCATTTTATTTGAAAAATAATAATTGTATATATTTATGGGTATGATGTGATGTTCAAGTACATGTATACATTACATAATAACTAAGGTCATAATGAATAATGTCCTTAATTTCTGAACTACATACCCTTGCATTTTAAAAAATTATGAGCATGTGTTCATAGTTTATGCTTACTTATTTATAATATATATGCTATTATACTAATAGATAATCCATGTAGCAAAACCTAAACAAAAATATTGAGACTAAGAAGAGCAAAATATTTTAAAAACTAGTTTGTATATATACAAAAACATTCTGATGGCTAAAGAAGTTTTTATAACAGGCCTTCATTTGCTTCCTTCTACTGGAACCCTAGCAAAAAGCATATTTAAGTGTACGTAATATCTCAATCATAGTACTTTAACAGCTTTGGAAGCATGGCATTTTGGTAGGAAATTTGAATTTATGTGAGATTTTAAGTTATATATTTGGCTCTGATAATATTAATTAGTGATAATATTAAGCAACACTTGTAATATAGCAATACTGACCCTGTTGAGAAGTAGACCCATTGACAGATATTCATGCATTTTCAAGGTCAACTGGAGGCTTTGAAGGATCTGTAAAACCTATTTTACATATCTGGCCTGGAATGGAGGCACAGTAGCTTAATCTTTAATAATTCACATTTAGGGCAGTTTTGAAAAATTTTTTTTAATTGTGAAATAAGATCAAAGCAACATATAATTGTAGAAGATATACTCTCTGGACTCTTTTTTTTTACATAAACAAGTTTCTATTCCATGGCTTAAGACTTCCTTAAACATTATTTTAAATACTTTTCTGGAAAACCCTACTTCTATGTTTCAGGAATTTGGGGAGCATCACCATAGCTGTAGAACTCACCTTACCAACAACAGGAAAAACAACTACAGTTCTAATTTCAAGGCCTTAGTTTTTCCCTAGAACTCAAGCTCAGATTTCTAGTTACTTTGGAGCTCATGAAAACTGAATATAAGGAATTCAATATTCTCTGCCACTCTCATCTTCTGTAGGATTTTGTCATAAACCTTCCTTCTCAATTATCACAGGATTCCAAGTTTCATTTAAAATAATATCATAGATTTTAAAATTATGTTGTTCTTGTTGAGCCTCAGAGAAATCCAAGTAGAAATAAAAAGGAAAAGGTAAAATTTCAAGGATCTAAACTTTTCTCCCCACTTTTCATGAAAGGATACAGAAAAAGGGAGAACCAAATTTACCATTTCAGAATATCCAACTTCCAGTTCTTATTACCCTTTCCCTGATAGAAAATAAAAGACAGATTGAAGGAGATATAAAATCTCTGTGGCTTTTTTATATTTCTTCTTACACACTTTGAGAAGTTTCTGGGTTGGAGGTGGGGTTAAGCTTGTGTTTAGGGTTCAGATTTATATTCTGCTGTTGGGATTATATTTGAGATGGAACCATTTCTGTGTCCACTGACAGAAGGCATATAAGTACAAAGGCAGAAAGAACAAACATCCTGATTGAATCTTTCACTTTTGCCAAATTTGATATTCAAATTTATATAGAACAGAAATTGTATTTTAAATACTTCTCCTGGGTGTATATGTGATCGGAAGAATCTCTCTTCCATGATAATGGCTTCGGATGATGTTCCTCTCACTCTTGTTGCCCTGAGATTGCACCAGCAATAAACAGGTAACAGATAAGCTCACTCCACCAAAGCTTCCTTGTGTCCTTTTTTGGTTTTGTTTGTTTGTTTTTCAGTAAGAACATTTAACATGAAGTCTGGTATTCTAACAAATTTTGTAGTGTACAATACCATATTGCTAACTATAGACACTAAGTTGTACAACAGATCTTTAGAATTTTCTCATTTTGCATAACTGCAACCTTATATATCCGTTGAACACTCCCCATACCTATCACTCCCCAGATCCTGACAACCACTATTGTATCACCTGATTCTATGAGTTTGACTATTTTAGACACATCATATAAATGAAATCATGGAATATTTGTCTTTGTGATGGCTCATTTCACTAAGCATAATGTCTTCCAAAGCTTGCTTAAAAACACAGGTAGGCTGTCTTGGCTTTGCATAGTAGTGTGAGACTATAAATAACCATTAAATCTTAAACTGTGCAAAGCAACCTTAATAGTGGGGAAAATCATGATCATTCTATGACTTTTTTTTGATACTGGGTATTGATCTCAGAGGCTCTTTACCACCCCAGCCCTTTGTATTTTTTTTATTTTGAGACAGGCCTCACTAAGTTGCTGAGGCTGGCCTTGAACTTGCAATTCTTTTGCTCAGCCTCCTGAGTCTCTGGGATTACATGCCTGTACTACTGTGCCTAGCTTCATTCCATGACTTTAAAAATTTTTGTTAAAGCATAGAAAACTCTTTTATGGCCCATTCAAATGTGTAGGGAAGTGATAAAAAGTAAAACTGATGTATATTTGCTACACCACAATTTTAAAAGAAACACTGAGAATTATAGTAGTTTATTTTTTTGCAAAAAATCTCTTGTCAGAGGTAGTTTGCAAAGTGCTTGCCTCCTAATCATATAACTTACCATATAAAGCAAGCATCTTTTCTGTGCTTTGGTGAATTATCATATTCCATTCCCAGTTTGAACTAACTTCCAACATTTTATCCTTTGCACTTTCAGTGTTTAATAACATCTCTTAGAATTACTTTAATGTCAAGTGTTTTGTCACTTCCTCTAAGACATCTTTTTTGAAGAAGAAGCAGAAAAAAATCTCTTTATTCTTATTAATCCACAAAGAATAACATCCTCTGGGACATCTCTATCCTTTTCATCACAACCATTTTCAGCATTTACATCAATAGCCTTGCCTTTACTAAATTCCTCTGGCTGTGTATCTAGTGCTTCTCAAACAGAGCAGTGTTGACAATGTCTCAATTAGCTTTTTCTTCCATAATTCTATCTACATTCAATTCAAATTTAACTTGCAGTGCTATCACATTTTACTTCTCTATTGAACTTTCTTCTCAGCTGGCAATTCCCTCTTTTGATTAT